ATCGACATGACCAATGACGACAATGTTAATATGAATTTTTTCTTTACCCATTGTAATAGATCACTGAGTGATGTTTGAAACGGATGTAAAATTTGTGATCTGAGAAAGAAAGGAAGTAAAGTATAGACACACGATAGTAAATGACATGCATTATATGAAATTGCGTAGTTATACATTTTACGATGGTTTTATAGAGAGAAAGAATTTAATTCGAAATGTGCGCACGACAGATGATGAAAGAGTTACATTTATCGAAATTTCTATAATGATAGTACGATACTGAAAGAGTAATGGGAAAAGACAGAAGAAGCTGGATGGAATGATATGGTTTGTTTTTAGGAAGACTGGATCGAAAATAATTTTTAGATATTAAAACGAGAAAAATGTAACAAATGTATTTTAAAGTTATTTTCTAATATCACGATATGTTATTATTCGTCTCTCTATTATTGTCTGCTCTGCTAATATCCTTGGTATTATATCGTCCATAGTTTAACTAGGTAGGTTTACTCGGCTTGCGACCTTCTCGCAAAATGTTTTTTCTCCGACAGAATAGTGTGATAACGATATCATAAATCGTTCCATGGAGGTCCGTCTACACCTATATAGTTTTTGAAATTTCATTTTTTCTAAATTGAAGTTAATTAAAATTAAAAGGATTTATTTTCAATGAAAAATGATCAGAGTAAATTTTGAAAACTATTTTTCTTAATTCTTTTCTAATAAGCGATAGTAGCGCTATATAATTTTTATCGAAAGAGAATAAAGAATCATGAATCATCGAAAACCGATTGTTTTATTATACCTTAGCCATATTTGCTAACTAATAAAACTTGACTAGCTAATTAAATTCATAATAAAGACAATTTGTTTTATTTTTCTTAAATTTGATATTCATTCCCAAAAAACAAAAAGAAACGAATAACCATATTATAACAACAACACATCAAACAAATAGTGGATAAGATTGCACAGACTGTAATAAACAAAGGAATGTCAATTAATGGCTTAAACAAATTGAATATACAAAAAATCCACACATGTAACATTGAATTGAATATCTGACAGGAAACAAAAGCAAAAATTTTATTTTATTTTATATTCGTTTTTATCATCATTATACAAACACATGGAAACGAAAAAAAATGAATTCCAGCACATTAAGAGAGAGAGAGAGACAGGAAAAAAAGCTTCATTACACAAATTTAGATCAAAAACACTTTGATTGCATAAACAATAAACATAGATATATATACATATATATGTATGATGATGATGATGATGTTAAACAAAAAATATAAGAAACTCAGATCAAAAATAAAGAGAAAGTACAAAGCAAATAATTTCTTTTTTTATGTATAACCACTTGGTTGCCAATGACTACTTGGTCCTGGATTATAATAATCCATACCATTTCCAACTGGTGTCATTGCTGTTTTTACTTCTAAAGAATAATGATTAATATTTATTTTAAGTATATAATTTATTCATTTACCATCAAGACTCGGTGGTGGTGCATTAGTTTTTCGTAATAATAATCGAACATATAGACCACCATCACGAATTAATGTTATTGCTTCACTATGAGTCATGCCATATGTTGAACGACCATTTATTTCAATAATTTGATCTCCAGACTATTAAGACAAAAATAAATAAGAAGGAAACTAATTTTTCATCTATTTACTTTCATTCGACCATCTCGAGCTGCTGGTCCATTTTCAGCTAATTTTAATATAAATAATGGAATAGAAAATTCTCGTCCACCACGAATACTAAAACCAAAACTTGAATTTGGATATGGACGTTGAAGATCAACAGAGAAATAATCATCTGATGCCGATGACTAAATATATATTTTGGAAATAGATTTAATTACAAATAAAAATCAATAATTCTTACCGATTTTAAAACTCCATTTCCTCTTGATGGTGGTCGATTTTGATTTCTTTAAATGAAGAATATATATATTTCTTTTTAAGCAAAATATTCTTTATTAAATTTACATACCTTTCAAGTATATTCAATGGATTATGCGAAAACGCATTTCTAATTGAATGATTTCCATTATTTATGGTATGAGAAGTACCTGCTGATATAGTATGATGATTACCATTTGCAGCAACCATTGGAGAGGAAGATGATGGTCGAATACTATTTGAAAGATTATTAGTCGACGTTGATGAAAATGGTTGATTAGAAATATCTTGAGATCGATCATCTTTTATTTACAAAAAAAAAAAACGAAAATATTAATCTTTTATTATTACTATTATTTACCAAAAGGAATAGGTGGACCAATTTTTAATGTTATTGTTCGACCAGAATCTTTTATTAGATTAACAACATCTGTATGTAACATATGTGTTAAATCAACACCATTAACAGCTAAGATACGATCATTGATATGAAGTTGACCACATTGATCAGCTGGACTGTTTGATATTATTTTGCCTTAAAAAAATAATAAATGTTATTGAAAGAAAAGAAAATCTTTAATTATCATGCATGCATATTTCTTATACTTTCAAATGAGAAAATGATAGATCAAGATAATAAAAAATAATTGTCAATAACAATTAATGTCATTGATAGTATGAAATTAATGAAAAACAAAATTAGTTATGAATACTATCAATATCACTCAAATAATAATATTAATCATGTACAATTTACGACAGTGATTTATTAAGTTCAATTGAGATAATCATATATCTAAGTCACTATAATGAAAATAAGATAAATTTCGATTTGGATAAGATCCTATCTTGACGAATGATGATAATTTAAAAAATATATCATTGAATCAAATATAAATCTTATTCCTAGTAACATTATGTTCATCGTCTATTTGTTTTTTGTCATTATACTTAATTAAAAGAAGTACTGATTCATTAACTTTCAAACGAATACAATCAATGATATATCTCATGCTTAATATGTATCACACTTCATGCATACATGCATATCTAACCTATCCAAACTTTATGGATAACGCTATTTTCAATCTGTTCATGTCGATTGTCATCTGTTTAAATAATTAAAAATTAAAGAAAGCTCTTAAATATCTCATTAAGATTAAATTATTTACCAACGGTAGCACCGGCCTTATTCTGTGATGAAATAATAACAAAACCAAAACTTTGATTATCATTCATTTTTTGTAATGTAACATAACGTATTCCATTATCAATGGTTGAACTTGGACGAAAATCATTTGGTGGATATGAATCAACATCTGTTTGATTATATTGATCTATACGAGATAGAGAAAAAAAAAACAACATGACATTTTTATTGAAAGAAATGTTTTTTTACTTGATAATTGATTTTGATTTGGATATAAATATCGTCGAACAATTAAACTAACACGTTGATTTTCTTTTGCTTGTTGCATTAATTGAACAACTCGTTCATGTGATGCACGTATTGTTGAATGACCATCAATTTTAATGATTTCATCACCTTTACGAAGACGACCATCAATATATGCAGGAGAATTAGGAACAATACGACCAACAGATACTTGAGATTTTTCTTCTTCACCACCAACAATGCGTAAACCAAAACCATCACTAAACAATAGAAAAAAAAACGGAAAACAATTAAATGTAAAAGAAATAATTTCTTCTATTATTACCTTGGACGTAAAAGTGTTAAATTAACAACTAATTCAAAATATTGTGGATGAACAGATTGTAATGATCGACTGAAAAGAAGAAGAAGAATAAAATAGGAAAATTAATATTAAACTTGTGTATTATTCTAACCTATTATGTAAACTATTTGTTGAAAAATCATTAGCTGTTGGTGTTTTACTTCGTTGTTTCATTCCCATTAAAGTATTTGCACGATAAGATGATGTTACTGTTGCGCCAAATTCTGGTCCCGGTGTTTTACTTCGTAACATTGGACCATTACCATTTGTTGTACCTGTTGCTGTATTTGTTCGTATGTCACGTGCACTACGTGACCAAGCTGTTTGACGATCAAATGGATTCATTGAATTAGGAGATAATTCTGTTTCAATAATTGGTGTTGATGTATCAACACTTTTTGGTAAAAGAAAACTTAAATTATTATCGTATGGATTATTATTGTTATTATTATCAGTTGCAGTTGAATGTATGATTTGATGATGATGATTATTGTTGTTATTATTATTATTTGTTGTTGGTAATGGTGTTCGGGAACGTAATGGTAAAGTATCAACTAACGGTGTTGAACCAAATGGTGTCGGAGTTTTACTACGAGGTTTTTCTACAAAAGAAAAATCAATGATTGAGAGAAAAATATTTGGGTTGTTTATTACCGTTTAATTTTGTTGATGAATATCGCGTATCAATTTGATCATTTTCCTATGAAATGAAATATGATTCGTTAGCTCAAGGAACGTTTGATACTGAAGGATGGAGAAGTACAAAAAAAAAAGAAAAGAAAAAGGTACATGTTACCTTCTCTAGTACGCAAACAGAAAGAAGAGAGAGAATGGAAGATTAAATATAATTATTCAATAATTCATTCTCGTTTTTCTTCTGTCTGCAATTGTGTTCAATAGATCCTTTCGAACAAGTTAATGATAACAATGGGACATGCATATGAACAATTATACACACACATACATACATACATATATATATATATATATGTATATACATTACTTGTCGTTTGAACATTAAAGGTAAAATGATAAATGATAGGGAATAAAATAGACATGCAAATGGGGAAGATATACGAGGTCATTTTCAATTATATTCAATCACCTTATACTTAGTATTGCTTGTCAAAAATGAAACATGCTTGGCACCGATTATCGGTCGATTAGTTAACTATAGATATAGAATTTTTTTTTATAAAACATTAGTAATTTATATATTCTGATATAAAGGGAATTACTGTGTTTTTGAAAGGTCGACAGAGGCATAAAGTCAATAATCGAAACTTCTGATTTAAAAGTAAAATTTTTTACAAACAAAATGAAAGTACTGGAAATAGAATGTCTAGAACTCGAAATATAGGATAAAATCCTTGTTCTATTGAGTTAATGTCATACACGTGTTTCTTTTTTTTTACGAAGGGTTACCTTACAAGGCCTTCTATTACTTGTTTTGATGTAAAACTATAATAATCTATTTTTGATTATGATGTTATGATAACATCGTACAAATATTTTCGATGTATTTATATTGGATAAACTCTATACCTACTCAATTATATTCTCAGGAAAATGCTTCAGATTATAGCATATCTATAAATATTCGAAATTCAATTATATTCATCATTGATTGAATCCGACTGTAAATCTTTTTTTCCAATGTCAATATAATTGATGAATATGATCTAAAGTTCTTGTTTTTCTTACAAACATTCTCTTAAAAATTAAAATATATGTTATTTTTGTGCATACATACTTGATTATTTTTATCGAAACGGCTGATACCATTTAATAGAAACGGTGTATTATTATTATTATTGTTATTATTATTATTATTCACGTCCGGATCACCTTAATACAGAAAAAAAAAATAGTTAAGTAGATGAGTTTATTTTCTACTTTTAAAATATTACAAAACATGCATAGAAGAAAAAATTAACAGAAAAAAAAATCATTTAATACCTTTATTTGGTGCTCTTTTAACACGGAATCTCAGCATGTTGTGATATTATTCTAACTCTTTTCATATATATATATATATATATACAAAGCTGGCTATCTGTCTGTCTGTTTTTCTCTTGTAATAATAATGTGTTCAGAATAGATGAATGCTTTTCCATTCCTTAGGGAAGAAGCATGCCAACAGCATTCCAACCAGCCATCATAAATCAGACAGACGACTCAAAATAACAATAATCATTCAATCGTTCCCTTGTTCGTTTTCTCTCACTTTTACTATTATAGTTCAAAGCGTTCTAGCACCTAATCAAAAAGTGATCATATGAAATGAACTCTCGTTTTCTTCCACTTTTTTCCTTCGTTCATTCTCCGTTCCAATTGAATCTATACACTTATATATATATATATATGTGAAAGAAGAGAAAAATTCTGTATGTATGTATATATATATATAAAAAGAAAGATGAATACGGGTCCGAACAATATTCTCATTGATTTTTTATTTTATCATATGAGAAAGAGAAAAAGGTCAAATTGGAAATGCATACACAATGACAATTTGTCAACTATGAGCAGATGTTCACATCTACATGTATATGTATATACATAAAATTTACCTGCGCTACTCGACTGTTATAGACTATAAAATAATAATGAAAGAGCTCTTCTGTATGTGATCGAAATATCAAATAAATATATAACTCTCGCTTTTTCTTTTTCGTTTATATTCTGCGTTGTATAGAAGAGGAATACCGTTGGAGGAGGAAGAGAAATCGTCCGATTTTTTTTCGCGCTTACTTCTCTTGTCAACAAGCAAAATTTTATCGCACTTAAACTTGAATAGAGTAGATGTAGTTGTATAGTGATGGTATTAGTATTATGTTCTATTATAAATATCAAACCAATTTCTCGCTCTCTCTCTCGCTCTCTCTCTCTCTTTCTCTTCTATTAATGGCCATAGTTCTCTTTTAGTTTTCTTTCCTCATTGACGATCAAGGATGTATTGAAGTGGAAAAAAAAACCGTAATTCATGGTCAAGAAAAAAAGAAAATTTGATGGTTTCTACCTCTTCGTATAACGAATAATGTGTCAATATCTTTTGAACATTTAATAAGTATATCAACAACATCAGAATGTTGTTTGCCAATTAAATCTTGTCCATTAATTGATAATAATAAATCATTTTCACAAAGATCTTGACAACGTTGTCTATCAACAATAGCTTTAACACGTTGTCCTAATGGACTATCGGCAACAGTAAAACCAAATCCACTATCACCTTTTCGTATTTTAATTGAAAATATTCGAGGAGTTGTTTGAAGATGTGATTCAGGTTGATATTCTGTATAACCACCATTTGGTAAATTATTAATTGGTAATGAATTATGAACACCATTTAATGAAACAACATCGATTTGTGGATCATCAAAATTAACAACAAGTGGATAACCACGACAAACAGTTAAACGAATAACATCATTTATTGGTAATGTTTGAAATATTCGTACGACATCAGTATGACTAAAACCCAATACATTCGTATCATTGACATAAACAAGTATATCACCTAAGATAAAAAGATTGATTTATGTCTCTAAATAGAAAAGTCAATAATAATTACCTCGACGAAGTTTTCCATCTCGTGCTGCTGGTCCATCAGATAAAATATCTTTGATTTGTAGAAAATGTTCACCTTTTTCATTTCCACCAATAATTGTAAAACCAAAACCATTTGAACTTTTTTGTAGTGAACATGAAATTAATTCACCTGATAAATGTGCTGATGGTGAAGTTGAATTTTCATTCATCATTGATCGTGATACTAATCAAAAATAGATTTTTCAATTTTTTTTCTGCATGAATAAATTTTATTTCCCCTTGAAGGGTTATTGAAATAATTGATACAATTTTGTTTTATGTCATCAAATATTTCCTTAACGAATAAAATATAAAATTCTTACTTGTTGAATTTTGATTATCACCATTTGTCTGATGAAATATTTGTTCATTAGGACTATGTCCATTGAAAAATTCTGGATCATTATTTGGATATTGATAATGCATACCTTCGAATAGAAACATGAAAGAGTGAATAAAAAAAAACTCCAATATAATTCTTTTTTTACCATTGCTGTCAATTCCATTATCAGTTGCCATTTGTTGTTGAAACATTTCGTTGGCTGAATTACTACGTCGTAAAAGATTCGTATTTGAAGAAGAAGAAAGATATTGATGTTGTCCGTTAGTTGCAAGAGATTCTTTTGGCGGTCGGGGAGTTCCATAATAATGTCCTATTGAAAAATTAAATGTCAATAGTTAGAGAACATAAAAAGAAATACTTGTCTAGTTGACAAATAAAAGAACATAAAAAAAGAAAGATTTGCATAAATACCTTTATAGACACCACTTTCGAGTAGATTTCCACTTTTTTCTAGTGCTCGAAAATCTTTCGTACTTAAAAATGTATAATCTTGTCCATTGATTTCACCTGGACGAGGTGGACGTGTTGTGCCTAAATCAAAAATATATGTATCTATTTAGCTATTCTAATTAATGCAAATAAATCATATATATATACAAGGAACTGTTCTCATATAAAGATTGTCACGTATTGTTTGTTGAAGATCATGATCAATTGAACCTTTTTGAAAGCGTGCATCAAGAAATTGACGAAGATCTTTGGTTAAACCTATTTAGAATAAAAAGAAATAAAAATTAATATGATGTATTAAATAAATAATTATTTTTGATCTATGCATATATATGTATGTAATGATGCAAAAAGAAATGAGAAAAAAAAATTTTCTTTTATGACCTTGTAATTCGTCAAATATAGGATTAGCATTCGCTGTTGTAGCTCCTAATGCTGGACATATTAATGATAAATTATCATAAGACGAATGAATCATGATATCAGCATTTGTCAACATTGCTTCATGAGAATCATCAGCAGAGGCAAATATGTATATACATATACATATACATATATATATATTACTGATGAGGCTGTACAATATCAGCTCACTTAGTTCAACTCAATATGTGTATATGTAAGGATGTATGTGTATATTGTACGAGAACCGCAATATCGTAAATGACGTAACAGAATGCAATCGTGTGACGATGTTATCGACAAAAAAGCGGGTAGAAAAAGAAAAAAAGCGCTCAAAGAGACCCAGATACACAGAGAACAAGAATATGCTTAATATGATGGCATGCTGAGAACATCAGTTACTATTGTTCTGTCAACGAAAGGTTTACTACATGGTCAGGCGTCGACGTTTGATTAGTGCTCTTGTATTGCTAATAAGACAAGCGGAAAATGCAACATCATACTACAGACTTTAGTGTAACAATATGACATTGGCGACTAAACTGGGTACAAAATGTAGAAAGCAGAAACATAAACAAATATCTTTACAGATTATATCTCAGTAATAAAGATTTAAATTATTCTTACTCTTACACAGACATTCTTAAAAGCATGATCATATTGTTAACAATAACACAAAAGAAAGGTATTATATGAAAGTATGTATCTATTGTCAGAGTATCACTTTCATATATATATATGTTTAGTTATATTGTAAAGGTATTAGTAAATAAAAATCGTTCGCGCTTTTTTTTACTTCATATGATTTATGATTACACAACAGTTAACTACTATTCTGAATGACTTTCTTTTGCATCATTCTCAGTTCCACTCATAATCGATCGAATCATCTTAGCAAAGAAATGATAGAGATATATATAGAAGAAACAAATGTGTTCTTTCTCTCCATAGTATTAATTCCATTTGATTGTCAACATTGTCCATGTTGTTCAATCATCAATATATACTCGAACAACTGTTATTTTCATACAAGATACATGTTTATATAAGAAAAAAAAGCAGCAAACTACCTTCATCAGTCTGTTGTTTGAACATATCTATTGTCATTAATACATGTTTTTGTCTTAAAACATATATATAGATATATATATATATAAAGAATAAGTAGATTGAAACGGGATTACGTATAAATATATGTATATATACGTATGCTGATTTTATACTCTAGAGAATAACTAAAACGAAAGGAAAATGTACATTGACCTTGTTGTCAAGTCACCTACCCGTGAAGGGGAAAAGGATATTGATATACACATACACATACACTACTCGTTATGACCTCTGCCCTCGAATTCTTCTCCTTCTCTCTATTCTTTTCATTGAGAAAAAAAAACTGAACGGCAATGTCGGTGTATAACAAATATTTTCGATAAACAGACATGACATACTCATTCATTCTTAGACAAAAAAAATGAATGATCACAATGAACAAAGACTACTGAGTCAACTCTATCATCTTTTTTTTTCTATTAATGATAAAAATAACTCTACCAAAAGAAAATGCACAGAACAAATTATTTTCTTAGACGACTAATATAATTTATTGCATATAAATTTAATGAACCTATTTCTCTTCTATATCCCTTCTAGCATTATATAAATCTATTAACATTAAAAGAAATATATACCCGATTTAACAGTTTTTAATTTAATTTGTTTGTTATTAATAGAAAGTGTTTCAATAAGTAATTGTACATCAGCTAATGTACACCCAGCAATTTTATGTTGATCAATTTCAAGTATAATTTCATCAAAATCAATTTTACCACCTTTAAGAATAGTAAATGTTGTTTGATTATTTTTTAATAATGATATTGATTCATTTAAATAAATAAATTGACCATTATCAGCACCACCTGATAGATTTAATTTAATCGAATGATTATTATCATTTAATGATAATATTGTTTCATGACATGTTGGTGACCAATGTATTAATGGTGGTGATGATGATGATAATGCTAAATGTGTGGGTGGTGAAATATTATTAAGTGTTTTGGGAAATACTCGTGTTGGTGAGAGACGATTTTTTGTTGGATTTAATAATGATGACATTATTGTTCTAACGATATTGTGAATCTAAGAAAAAACTAAAAAAAAGAAAGAATAACCATGATCTATTATATTCTATTAAAAGGTTAAGATCAATCTTTCGATGATTGGTAATTAACTTACATAATAAGATGTCGTTGTTGAAACTGTTGTTAATATTACTAGTTAACATCTAAAATGATGTTTATTACATAAACTTTTTTGTTATTTAAAAGTAAACAAAAAATTATATTATATGAAAAGAACAATAAAACAAAAAGAAGAAGAAGAAATGCCATCAATATTTTATGAAAGTGAAGAATTAATGAATCAAGTGTGAAACTACATTAATAGGATTGTTTAGCCTTGACACTACCGACTGCCGACAATATTATTACGTTGTGATTACCAAATGTGTACATACTTATGAACAAGATGTGTGGGTGGATCGAAGAGATGGATACAATTACAGATAAAAAGATGTGTATTTATATACTGACATAGAGTAGAGCAAAAAGAAAGAACGATGATGCTCACTTCTTTTCAGACCTATTCTGATTTTTCTCCCCCTCTCTCTCTCTGTCCCCCTCGTCTATGCATTTCTCCCTTTTTTTTCTTCTTTCATACGCAAATCAGTACTGTACTCTATATCGACAACCGAATGATAAGCGGCTGAAAATCGAGCTTCGAACAGCTGCTTTCACTTTGAAATTGGACCATTCTTCCTCAAAAAGGATGCATATGACTAAACAGTCTTACTCTCTCTTTTTTTTCTTCTTTTTTTTTATGTATGACATCGTTGTTGGCAGCAACGAACGCTCGTTGTCGATGCTGCCCGGCATATAGACAAGTGTAATCATGTTAACACATCAGCACTTACTCTCCTTCCTTTGCGCCTGTACACGCAACAATTCTTGATGATGCTTACTTTCTCTTGTCGTGCGCGAATTTTCCCTCACTCTTCTCAAGAGAGTATCAAAAGAAGAAACAAAGGATGTACTTATAGTGTCAATCTAACGAACCTCAACAAGAAAAAAATAATAGAAATTAAAGAAATTGACAGTCCACGAAAAGAAAAAAGAAATTTTCTTTTTTCATATTTATCTCTTATAATATCTAGGACCAAACAAATACAAACATATTCAGTTTCATTTTTGTTCTATGTATCGTCTTAAATGTCAAATCGATCAATGTTCTTACTTGAAACTATGAAAGAAAAAAAAAGAAATTCGATTTAGCAAATGACGAGTCTATCTATCTCTCATTCAATATATATACACATATATATATATATATATATGTGTGTGTGTGTCTATTGAGTTGTTGTCCAATCGCCAAAACAAATAAGAGGGATTTACGATCGATAAGCATCGACAACAAGCGAACGAGAAGAGTAACCGAAAGAAAGAGAGATTAGAAATTATGTTTTTTTTCTCTTATCAAATCGAATAGACAAAGAAAAAGAAAACGAGTAAAACGAAATAAATATATCATTATTCAGCATATTTTTTTTTGGTTTCTTGACCTTAGAAATACATTATGATAAATAGATAAAATGAATGAGCATAAAAAGAGAGAAAAAAAATATATGTAACATATAGTGGATGGTATAATACACTAAGAAAAAGAAAACAAAATAAAAGAAGAGAAAAAAAAATCAGTATCACTGTATAAACTAAAGCAACAAAAAATGCAATTAGAGAAATGAAATATGTGATGTATGTTGTAATATTTTCGGAAGACGGACGGTCTAAGAATTTTACGACTTTATAAACGAGAAATATTGATGAATTATTTACGTAGACGATAATTCATAATATGTGCCTGTATGTGGATCATAGAAACATTTAAGTATTTCATCAAAACATAATTGAACTTGTTCCCCATCCATCGTGGATGGAATAGGTTCAATATCATCGAATGAACTTTGTTTTTTCATTGTAGTTGTAGAATTTAATCTAAATGTAAAAGTTTTATCATTACCAGTACCAATAGTTCCAATCGAATTATTATTTTCTGCTACAATTGATGCCATTAATGGTGGTATTTGAGCATTTGCACTAGAAAGCATTTCATAACGATAATGTTGTGAAAAACGTGAACGTGCTGCTAATTCTTCCGAAGGTTTTAATGTACGTGGTGAAAGTTTAAATGTTGCTGTATCAAACGAATTTGTTGCAACATATTCATATTTTTTTGGATCAAATGTTTTTTGTTGACGTCGAGGAGATAATCCATCATTGACATTATTAGGAATCCAATCATCTAATGATTGCATATTAGCAAGTATAGCAGCTATTTGTTTTGAATCAGCTATTTCTGCTTGATCAAAACCATAAAATGGATCATGAGAAAGGGAGTTTGATGGTGAAGATACTAAAGAAAGAAAGAAAATCAATAGAAATAATTGAATTTATCTAAGATTGAATAAATCAATTACTCTGATTATTTATGATATGTTGAGTATCATCAATTGGATTTTGATCTTGTTGATGATAATTAGTTGATATTATATCTGATTTAATAGGTGATAAATCTTGTTGTTGTCGTCTTGGTGATATTAGTGGTGATGTCGATGGTGGTGGTAAACGACGAAAAAGTAAAATAATTCGTCTTTTTTGTACAGCCTTAGGAACTTTCGATCTTTCCTGTTCTTTAATTAATGCATTTAATGAACTTTTTTGTTGTTCATCACGTTTTAATAAATGATGATTTATTGGTGGTAATTGTTGCATGTGATTATTATTATTATTATCATCATGTGAACGTGGTGTTGATGATTCATTTGCTGATGATGGTTTTTGTGGATTTCTTATTGATGAACGTGGAGAATTTTGAAATGAATTTTCATCAGGTGCTGATGAAACACGTTGACGTAAACGACTATTTCGTAAATATTTCATATTTTGTATTGATTGTCGTTGAATTTCACGTGGTGGATTACTAAATGTATAAGGTTGTTTAGATAATTTATTTGTTAAATTTTCATTTAAAGAATTTTCTGTTGATAAAAACTGAACAGGTAATGATGGTGATTGTGACATTGATGATACTATTTCAGATGATGGTATAGAATTTGTTGATATGGATTCTCGTATTGGTGGTACAGGTGGACGAATATAATTTGTTTGTGAATGGAATCTTGTAGAATTATTTGTTATTGTTGGAAGAATAGAATTTGTTGATGATTTTCGAATATGTCGTCGTGTAAATGTTCTGGGTGAATGTGCATTTCGATAAGCAGTTGTCGACATATTTTGTAAATTTCTATTAATTAATAAATCGACATGATGAATCTTAAGAAAACAAAAATATTTTTATTTATTATTTATTTCATCATATGTTTCAAACATATAACTCGACAATGAAATGTGAAGAATTATAAGAAGTTTTCTTTTTTCTCCTCCCTTTTCTTCCCTTCTTCTTCTTCTTTTTTTCTTTCTTTTTTTCCTTTCTCGTTCGCGCACAAGGGTTTTTATCCTTTTTTTTGAAATATTAAAAGGTTTTGAAAAATTACTCTTAACCAACAGAATTGAGTGAAATTCTTCTTTTGATTCCTTGTTTCTTTATGTACTCGACCGATCGATCGATTTTTTTCTCTTCTTTCTTTTAAATTAATCACTTTTTATTGGTTATAAAGAGAAACCATCGGTTCACATATGATCACTGTTCAATATATATTTATGACATCTATCGTGAACACAAGAAAAAAAAAATTTAAAGAAGAAGACATTCACGTTTTTTTACTTACTCTTAAAATTAAAAACTATAGTTTATGTTCGAAATCCAATCTTTTATATTACACGGGATTATTTCATCATTTTATGAAATGTTTTGAAATATAATTATAAAAACAAACGATATTTGGTGGCTAAATAAAATGTTATTCGAATTAAATATAGAATCTGCTAATTGCTTACATTTACTTCTTTTTTTCGATTTTTATATGTATTTGATAAGGTATAGTGTTCAAGAACACAACAATTAACGAAGTATAGAGTTCTTATCATCATTTTTCTCGGAACTCTATTTTATAATAGATAAGATATTTAAGAGTTGAAATATTTCACTACTTATTATGCAATAAGAATCTGATAAGATAGCTGTTAAGTATATTTCTTGAGATTTAGAAGAAAAAAAATGGTTGAAAAATATTATTGATAAACTTTTTTCAGTTCTATATGGTTAATATAATTCGATTTTGAATTAATAATATTGACTTATAACAAAAATATGTGAACTATTTTAAAGTAAATAATATTTTGTTTTATTAATTCTATTAGAATAAAGTAATACAAAAGAAAATTATTAAAATTCACATCAGTAAACATCTTTCGAAATTATTTATTCTTTATTTTGTCCTACATTAATTGCTCTGATAATAATAATAATAAACTATTGTCTTGTTCGATTATCATTGCAGCTGATGCCATACAAATATACGTTGAAGTCAATAGGTTTCTTACACTTCTAAAATTCATACTGAAGATTAATCATAGACAATGATTAAGTTTCATAAATAAATATGGATATATCATTTTTTATTATTTTTATCAGATACAAGTCCATATTTACACACGCAAAATAAGTTGTCAATAGATAAGATTGATTGCATATTAATGTACAGTCGTTCGATCGATTTTTGACTCTTAATGATGGGAATGTATACCTGAAAGGGTAAAAATAATAGTAGTGACAATGTGAATACATATGAGTGTAATAACAGTAATGATGATGAGTGGAATTACAATACTTGATAAGTTGTAGTATGATGAAGAATATATATTAGAATTTTATCATTTTAAAATTTATTGTAAAGATAATTACATTCAATATATGTGTCATACGAAACAAAGTGCTTGTCAAGTCCAATGCCAATAGCCTAGGGATCGTATTACTTACAGTAGTTTATGTGTAACATATTATCTTAATTATCAATTTTATGTTATTCCATATTTCAAGATCTTAAAATGTATTGAATGAACTTCATGTTCAGTTAAAGAAATCTGTAGTAGATTGTGATGTCATTTGTATTTTTGTAGGAAATATATGACGATAAATACGCTGTCAGAATAATATCGTTATTCATAAGAATATTCTATTTTAAAATATGAATATTTCAACTTGTGATTCACATTATTGCGAGTTCCTTAGATAAACAATTTATCGACATTTCCTATTTTATTTATATTAAAACTACAGTTTCATTTGATTTGATTTAAATAGTTAATATTGTACGTGGGCATCGTAATGTTAATGAACTGAATAAAAAATTTACTAATACATAAATAAATAATCAGATTAAATATTAATATTATTTCATATGACAATTATTTGTAGCTAGTCATATTAATTTTTGACTTCTGAATATTTGAGTTATCATACATTAATTATAATATATTGTATATTCGTGTCCTTTGTTTATAGTTCATATTTTTTGTGTCAAATATTGTTTGTAACAATCAATTATTCATAGAGTTTATGTCATGTAAAACTATAGAATAGACAAGTGATTCTATAATCTCATCGATTGTATTAACTTTATTAGAGTTGGTCCTTGCTATCATCTGAAAAAATAAATCCAATATCTCAATAGATTTTGAATAAATGACAATTAATGAATTCAAGTGACATTGAGAGACTTCAAATAAATAAATCTCCCTCTACTGATTTCATCTTGAGTACGATTTTCTTCGAGTCGACATTTTCCTCCTTATGTAATTTTATAACACATTGATTCTGATTGACTTTTACTGATATTGTTTACTCTATAGATTTTTGATATAATTAGAAATTTTATTAGTTTATTTTGAAATTAATTTCATGCATGATATAATTCATGAAAAAATTAAAAAGGTCAATACTATAATGTTAGCACTACAAACGAAAACAAGATTTTCTTTGAAAACAAAAATTGCATGCAACGATAAAATCTTTTGTATATAAATAATATTTATTAAGTATTTTTGAAATGTCTTAAAAAAAAATTTAAACATGCTGTGATAATGTTGTTTTGGAAGTATTATTATTTTGAAAATGATTTTCCATAATTGTACTTGGAATGTATGTACTAATTAGACGTTGAACCAGTATTTTCTTTTCATCTTCATTTAAAAATGTTGAACGTGCTGCATTAAAAACACATTGAGTTAATTGTGCTGGTGTTAATTTTAAATCAGATAATGCATGTTCATATTCATGTTCAATTGTTATTTGTGATACTGATGGATCATCACATGATAATGAAAAATTTAAACCATCACGAGCAAAATGATGTATAGGATGCCAAATTTCTTTTTTTGATTTAATATGCGAATGTAATCGTGTTTTACTTTCATGACCATGTATAACTAAATGTTTTTCTTCTGTTTCACTATCTTTTGGTATATATTTACCAATAGCATTTGTTTGTATTGATGATGTTAAACAACATTCAACATGAATATCATTACGACGTATTAAATCATATATAGATGGATCATCAATTATGGCATAACCATGACCAATTCGTTCCGCATGACATAATTCAATTGCTTCACGAACTGATTCAGCTGAACCTGTTTCACCAGCATGTACTGTACGATGTATACCAAGTTCAAGTGCACGTTTGAATGCTGGAACATGTGGACCTATTGGATAATTATGCTCATCACCAGCAATATCGATACCAACAACACCGGCTGAACGATATTTATCAGCTAAGTTTACCACTTCCATTGACCTACAGATGAAAAGTATTTTGTTTTTAAATTTATTAAGATATAACTGTTCATTTAAAGTCAATGACTTGACGATTTATTCAAAAACTACATAAATATATCTCATTATAGTGATTTGATATTAATGTAACATTATAGTAAAATGAGAATCCCTTACCAAATATTTATGTTAAAAATAGATCCCACATGAAAAGATTAATCCTTTGTTACAATTTTAACGTACTAATAAACTCACACCTACAAAATATTAGTATCATTAAAGACATTAATATTGAAAAATGATTCTAATTTCAATTATTTCTAACATACCATTCGGGACACTGCCGTATACAACATAATATTGTTCGAACATCAACAGAAAATTCTTTCATTCCACGTTGAAGACCACGATTAATTGCTTCGATTACCTTTAAGAAAGATTAAAAGTTTTTTTCTAATAAAAAATAAGTCAAAATTTTTACCTGTTCTGGTGTTAATTTATTGTCAGTTAAAAATTGTGGACTATACCTAGTTTCAGTATAAAGTACACCTTGTATAGCTTGATCTTCAACAAATTCATATGCAACTCGTTCAAGTGCTTCAATATCACCAGCAACAATTGGAGTAAAAAAAGGAAATTTGGTAAGAAATTCAGCAAGTGATTGACAAGTTGATTGAATACATATGTATCTTTAATAATATAAAAAACAATCATAGAAAACTTGATTTCTTTTTTTAGAAGATTTAAATTACGGTAGAAAATTCTCCATTGTTGATTCCATTCCATTAGGAAGTTGTATACCTAAAGAAAATCACGTTTTTATTTTAAAAATGAGTTCGATGTTATATACCTTTCTTTTGAGCTAATTCAAATAATGTGGAATGTCGAAAAGAACCATCGAGATGAATATGAAGCTAAATAAAAAGTGCAACTGATTTCTCTTTAGACCTAATCATATTTTACTTCAATTAAGGATGGTGCAGCATTGATAGATGAGCTTCGATGATGATGATGATGATGGTGAGGATGAGGTTGATCAGGAGTAGGACAATTTTCATCAGTATCTATTAATGTTCCAGGCAACTGTTTATCGTCTTGGTTATTCGACTCTTTCTTATCCATGTTTATAGGTTATAAATGAAAGGCAATACTCTTGTTTCAATAAAGCGATTCTTTTGTTCGCATGAAGGTATAAAAACAAGAAAATAAGCAAGCGTGCAGCGTTTACAGATGCTTGATGAATACACCAGATGGCATTAATCAGCATGCGTATTTTTTTCAAAAGTTATCCTAGATATTATTATTGATATAAAAATATAAATACTCTCGTTTAATAATTAAAAATAATATTTATAAAAAATCTTATTTGATATAGATGGAGTTAGTTGTTTATAATTTCATAAGAATTGTTAATTACAAAAGTTCCAAATAAATAAATAAATAATCAAATAAAAATTTTTTCCCTGATATAGATCTGTCGATTATTTTTTTATTTAAAATAATCTTATGAGTCATTTTATATCAAACAGTTACGATCTATCAGTAACATCAATGTAAAATAAAAAGAATATTTTCGATTATTTTTTTTTTTCATATGATTATTTATAGGAAATGAGCCATTTTCGACATATTTTAACAATTAAATGAGTGGAATCAAACGAAGTTTAAGTGCTGATTATGATTCAGCAATTACAAATGATAGTAATAATCAAGAACCAGCAAGTCCTAATAATTCTTCAGATTTAAAAAGATCTCGACATTCATCATCACATTCAGAATATGAAGAAGAAGAAGAAGAAACTCAAATAGTTGAACAAGAAAATGACGTTACTAATGGTACAAAAATATGATTAAAATCATTTTTCATAAAATAATATTTTTCTTTAAAATTCTAGGTCATTCAACAAGTCAATCTGAAACTGAAGAAGAAGAAGAAGAAGAAGAGGAAGAAGAAGAACAACAACAAAATAATGTGCAAGAAAATTCTTTGAATTATTCAATTGTTCATATTGATTTTGATAATGGAGAAGATGATAGTAAATCATAATTAAACGAAATTATAATTTTATTTTTTATATTTTTTTTCAAATAGTATATCGATATGATGGTAATATTATTTTTCATATTCATATTCCGTCTCGAGGACGATCTTGTCAAATATCAAGTGAACCATCAATCATACGAACATTTCCATGGACATTAATAGGACATATAAAACCAAATCATGATAATTTTCAAAATGATAATGCTGGAATATTTGGTCTTTTTCTTAAATGTGGAGTAGATAAAACTATTCAGAATTGGTCAATATTTGCTAAAGCTGAATTAACACTTTTACATGCAACAAATTCAAAGAAAAATTATGTTAAAAGTAAATTTAAAGAAAAATTAAATTTTTATTGTTATTCTAATTTTTGTTTTTATGAAAAGAAATTAATCATTTATTTAATTCGCGTTCTATTGATTGGGGTTTTCATAATTTTAAATACTTAAAAGTATGTTAAGAAAAATTTTCTAATTATTTGAATAATTGAAATTCTATTAGGAAATCTATGATGAATTTCTACATCCATCAGATAATACAATTCGAATTGAAGCAAAAATTCATGCTGATCCTCCGCGAAATGTTGAGTGAGTTGAATATTTTATTTTATTTAAAAAGAAAACAACACAAAGAATACTCTATTTAGTTGGGATTCAAAAGGTCAAACTGGTTTTGTTGGCTTGAGAAATATTGGCGCAACTTGTTATATGAATTCATTTTTACAAACAATTTATTTTACTAAAAAACTACGCAAGGTTTGTTATAAATTAAAAATACAATAAGTACATAAATGATTGAATATATGTATTCTATTGAGAAAAAAAACGTTTCGCAGATTACAAATAAATTCTGACGAGGAATGATGCGCTTATTCTTAATTTTCTCTGTAAATATATTCTCAAAAAATTGCTAGATATATAGATGGATCACTCTTTCTCTAGATTAGTTTTAATAAATTTTATATATTTAGGCTGTTTATGCATTACCAACTGATCATGATGATCAATCACATAGCATTCCACTTGCTTTACAAAAACTTTTTTATGATCTTCAATTTAGTGATCGAGCAGTTAGTACCAAGAAATTAACACGTTCATTCGGGTAAATATTCGTTTATCATTCTCAATTTCTTCTATTTCATTTTCTTTACCAAGATGGGACAAACCGGATGAATTTTGTCAGCATGATATTCAAGAATTTTGTCGAGTGGTAAATATAATTAAATATTCTAACATTATTTCTTCTATTTCTTTTCTTATTAGTTACTCGATAAATTAGAATGTAAAATGGAAGATACAACTATTGAAGGTATTATTCCATCATTATTTCAAGGACAATATGTGGTAAAGAAAGAATTTTGATTGTTCAATCATAATTTTATTTTAAATATCTTTAAGCAATATATTCGATGCACAAATGTAGATCATGAATCTCGAGTGACTCAAACATTCTATGATGTTCCATTACAAGTACGTAATAATGCAAATAGTAAGTATTTTATTTTTTGAAGAAAGAAAATATTTATTTTTCGATTTCGTATAGTTACAGAAAGTTTTCGAGATTTTTGTAAAAGTGAAATATTAACCGGTGAAAATTTATATGATGCTGGTTGTTTTCATGGTTTACAAGTATATTTTACTTTTTCGAAAATAAAATTTGTTTTGAAACATTTAATATAATCTAGGAAGCAGAAAAAGGTGTTAAATTTCAAAAATTTCCACCTGTACTTTGTTTACATTTATTACGTTTTGAATATGATTATAATTTATCACAAAATCGAAAAATAAATGACAGTTATTCATTTGATTATCATCTTGATCTAAATGAATTTCTTGAAAAACCAAATTGTTCATCATGTTCATATAAATTATTATCAATATTAGTTCATAGTGGTGATAATTCAAGTGGACATTATGTTTCATTTATAAATCCTAAATTAGATAAAGAAGTAGGAAGAAAACAAAACATTTTTTTTTCTATTATTGTCATATTTATTTTAGTGGTTTAAATTTGATGATGATGTTGTTGCACGAGTAGCATCAAGTGATGCAATGGAAAGAAATTTTGGTGGAGTACAAGATGATGATGGAAGTATGTACAATACATCAGCTTATATGTTGGTTTATATACGTGAAGATTGTCAAGGTAAATATATATGATAAATTAGGTCAAGCTAAGTGTGCGCCAAATTTGAAGTTGACGGATGTCTAAGTTGTCGCGAAAAACTCTAATCATCAGTTTTCGATTGCTCTAATGTGATGAGTCAACTGATGATGCTGAAGGAAAGAAAAGCACATAGTTATAAGCTGCAATGTATCGAAAAACTTGAAACTCGTAAACTTTAAATTTGGGGCTCACTTAACTTGACCGATAAATTATCATTTGGGATAATAATTTCTGTTTTGTTTTTAAATAGATGATGTTTTATGTGATATAAATCTTGAAGATATTTCAGAAAATTTAATTAAAAGATTCAATTATAATAAGTAAGAGAATTACTTCTATTATTTTGTAATGAAAATAAATGTTTTGTCTATTTAGAAAATCTATAAAACAACGTCAGATTATATCGGATAATAATAATTTAATTGATATACATATTATTTTAAATAATGATTTTTATATTCAACAAAAAGCTTGTTTAACTGAACTTATTTATGAAAAGTATAAATAAATAAATTTTCTAGAATTAATTAACTCATTCTTTGATATTAATTATTTTAGTTCATTAGATTTTTCTGAAAATAAACGATGTTTACGATATATATCAGCACAACGTTCAGAATTATTTCGTACATTTGCACAACGATTAGCTTATGAATTGGTAAGAAAAACAAAATTTTCATTGATTTAAATCTAATCTTTATTTAGGGGGTAAATCTTGATGAAGATATACGATTATGGGTTATTAATACACATAAAATTTCTAATAATAATCATCATTATCATCATTCTCAACCGTTACTTACTTCTACATTGACTTATTGTAATGATTATGATAAAAAAGTAAGTATTTAGAAAAATACTATCATATCTATTTCGTATTTTTCCTAGGTAAATGATATATTCCAATATGAAATATTAAATCGAAGAGTTTTAGCAATATATGTTGAACAGAAATTATTTATGAATAATATTTATCAATTATTACCGTTTGACACAGATGATATATTAATATTTGTTCGTTTTTATAATGCACAAGACGAATCTCTTTTGTATATTGGGCATTTTTTATTTTCACAAAAACAATCATTTCGTAAGAAGAACATTTCTTTTGCTTTATAGTTTTTATTGTTTTTATATTATAGAGAAATGTTTGAATGATATTGCTCTTCGAATGAAAATATCTATATGTTCGTCAACGACATTTATTGTTCATCAAAGTCAACCGAAACATAATCAAATTCATCAATATGAATCACTAAAATCATCAGATTTTGAATTATTATTATCTCAAGTACTTCGTCCATGTTTATCTGGTATATCAATTATAATTCAAATTGTAAATCCTAATCAAACAGATAAAGAAAATTCTTTAACAACTGTTGATGATTATCTTCGGTAAAATAAAATTTCCTAATTAATTTGTTTTACTATTTCGATTTATTTTAGAAATCTTTCAAGTCGTCAAGAATTTGATGTTTATCATCGAGATAGTTTACGTAATGAATGTCTTTTTAAATTATTTCTTCCATTAAAAACATCAATTAAACATGTTATTCAATTAATTGCTGAACGTATTGAATATTCCGAAGAACAAATTATTATACAAAAATCATCAAAGTAATATTCTGATAACCTTGTAGATATTTAAAAATAATGATACTCAAACTCATCAGCAGGGATAAGCATAATTAATCGTTTTATATGAAAATACCTCTAAGCTAAATCTTTTCATTAAAGAAAGTATAATTGCTTGTTCATGTTCAATGGAAAATATTTAAAACTTGACTTTAATGAATAAGAAGATGTTTGTTCTTCAAACATTCTGTATTGTGAAGTATTTTAATTAGGATGATTAAATAACCTTCCCCCCTATAATAGAAGACCCTAATTTTTTCAAAAAAATTTAAAAATTTTTGAGATTTTTTTCGAATTTTCCTGCGAAAACTAATAAAATTTCTCGATTTTAAGGTGAAATTTCGACGAACTCCTATCTCACTGTACTTAAATCTAGAAAAACTGCCTAAAGTCGTTTCAAAAAATCATAAAAACCTCTAGAAATCTTTTGAATCAATTTCCTCATCATGGTCTATGAAAATTTTTTGGGACTTAATGGAAGCCCCCTACAGAAGTTATAAACGATGGGCAAATTAAAAGCCCCCTGGGCTTCTAATATAGGGGGAGCGGGTTTAATCAGTATTTTGTTGTAAAAGATATTGTTACTAATAAGTAATATGATATTGAATTACGTTAGTATCAGCTTACCAGTATTTTAACCATAATCATTTGAGTATTCTTCATGTTTTCAACATGAACATGCGCTTTTAATATATAGAAAGAATAATTACAATATATTTGTCTATCGCTTTTCTAAGAACATTAATAATTGAGTATGAAATGATGACAATATGTTATTACAAAATATATGTTATTCTTAATATTATAAAGCTGTCTACATTCTCCGTATAATACAAATAATATCAATCTATTATTCATTGAAGAATTAATTGCTTCTGTTTACTCTACTAGTCTAATATTATAAATTATTTTCTGTATGTAACATAGTCCATATGTTATACATTTTTTCTATGATGTACCGAAATATCTTTTACAGACAGATATAAAATGATTTGTCAAATATGAAATATTTTAAGCCTTTATCTTTTGACATAAAATAATATAAATATTTGTGTAAGATAGATCAACTTTGTCTGGTTTATTTTTAGTTCAACATTAATAACCAATATTACAACTTCAACATCTTCATTACATATTGGTTGTGAACAAAAACTTCGTGATCTTTATCCGAATCTACGTATTACAGGAACATCACCACGAAAAATTATTTTTAAAAAAGTAAGAATTAAATCAATCTTGTTTTTTCGTTTTATTTAAAATTTTTGTTTATTATTTAGTTACCATTTAATTATACTGAACTTGAACATCGTCGTCTATTTCGATTATTTGTTACAAATTCCCGAAAAAAAGATGAACAACGAGAAGTTCAATTATATGTTAGAAAATCATCGAGAGTTGCTGAATTTCTTGCTGAAATCAAACAATGGATGCCAGCAGTATGTTCTGAGAATGGAAGTCAACAATTAAGGTAAATATTATATCAATAAAATTAATCTTTATAAATATTAGAAAAAAACAAAATTTAGAATAATCGAACTCATTTCATATAATCAAATAAATCCTCCCTTTCGACTTCGTATATGTCCCGATGAATCCTCAATGGATGAATATACTAATTGTGCAAATCATTTTTATCATTTGGAAGAAATTATTCATGATGATATTGATTATACTAAAGAATCGACATTAATACCTGTTGCTCATTATACTAAAGTAAATAAATTCTAATGTATTCAAATTCCTCGAAAATATTTTTTGTTTTTAGGAAAATTTTATACAAATAAATCTTCAAAAATTTTTTCCATTTTTTATACATGTGATACAAGTAAGATCGAAATACTTCATTAATTGATTGAAATTAATTTTTCTGAAAATTAGAATGAATCATTTAATGATGTTAAACATCGATTGCAAGTCAAATTAGGTCTTACAAATCGTGAATTTGACAAGGTTTGATAATTAATATTCATTTTCATCGAATCATCTGTTTCTGTTTAGTATCATTTTTCAATATATAATGGTAGTAAATTAATATCTCGATGTGATGATAATGCAGAAAAAATAAACATCTGTGAATTGAAATTAATTCGAAGTATAAATAATAATTTAATTCTTTATAGATAATGAATTACTTTTTTTCTCTTTATTTAGATACATGTTGGATTGGTTTAGAAATTCCATCAGTATCAAATCCACGAAAGACTAGAAAATCACTTTTTTCAGAAAAACCTATTCGAATAAACTAGTCGTGTATAATCCCGTTCTTTTTTTTTATATGAATTTGACAAAAATCTTTTATTTTATTCATTGGTTAACTAATGGTGTTGATTAGTTCTATTTATTATCATAAATAGAGAAAATTATGAATAATGTTTGTTTCTTTTTTCTCTTCTTCTTCCAGTATTTTGACATGCATAAGAAAATTTCTTGTTTTTTAAATAAAAATGTGTGTTTTCAATGCTTTTTTTTTTGTGTTTTTATATTATTTTCTTTCTTAATGTATATGTGTGATTCAATTTTATTTTTTGTTGTTTATATATAAACATTAATGAGAGAACAAACAGTTCTAACAACAAATCATTAAAAAGAAGAAAACAAAGGGAAAATCTAACATGAAAGACATTATACTGGTGAAGTTTGATGACTATGTCGAGACCACGGTTTATTTGTATCTAAAATATGTGCCATAGATAATAATGCATCTGATTGATCACTGTATGGTTCTTTGTCATTTGATGCTGTTTGTGAATTATTTAATGTATGAGATTCAATATCATCATGTTCTCCACCATCATCATCTTCGCCAGGACCAAGTAGAAAATGAACATGATTTTTACTTGGTATTCGTTTGAGGAATGGTTCATTTTCATCTGTAGTATGTGTATCATTATCGATAGATACAGATGGTTCACTAAGAACGATAGCAGGTGATGATATAATTCTTTTCTTCATTTTTGTCTCTTCGTCAATCGTTGGTTGACGTGGAATCGCGTGACTATGATTAGTCGCGTGATGTTGATGTTGGTGTTGTTGTAGTTCAGCTGCTGCATCTAATGAAGAAACTGACTGTCGGACGAGGCTAACTGATGAAAGTGTAGAACGAATACTATGTGCTGTAGCGTGTAATTGTTTCGAAATTAATTGTGCTACACGACGTTTTCGCATTGTAAATACACTTTGTAAAACAACAAGTAAAGCAATAATAATTGAATATTGTGTTGTAATAAACAAAAGTCCATGTTTTGCATCTGCTCTTAATTCGGAAAATTTCGAATAATCATTTATAATATCTTGACAAAGAAGTAAATCAGGAATTTTTGTTGACGTATTTTGTCGATAATAAGATATACATATACTATATTTTTCCTTATGATTTAATGCAGTTAATAATAATGAATTCGAAAAATGTAGATAGGGTTTAGATGTTGTATTTTTTAAATTTAATTTTTCCATTTTAAGTATAATTTCTTTATTTTTATGATAGGGTCGAATAATAAAAACGAAATATTCTAATAACATTATAGATTTAAATGGACGCGATGGCATTGTTGCCATTAATGCTGATAAACTTGATTTACGTTTAGAATTTGAATAAATATTATTTTCAATTAATGATGTTGGAACAGAAAATAAATCAAACGTTACACGAATTGTATATTTATCAACAAAATGCCAATCGATTTCATAATGTGGCCCTTGATAAAGTTCAGGTACCGCAATAACATCTGGTCTTGTGTCTGTTTCTAATAAATCATTAACAAATACTTCATTTTTAATTTCATCAGGTGTTATCACATCATCATCTGTAGAGTCGATTTTTTTTCTTTCTACTTGTATTATAGAAGAATTTCTATCAACAATCTATTAACAAATTAATAGATATTATTCTTATTATTGATAATAATATTTTTCTTACTTTTCCATTAGAATGATTAACTACAATTGTTGATAATGTAGTTGTTTTTGTTATTTTAGTTTTTGAAAGATTTGAATCGCTTAATGATGCGAATAAGAATAGTAGAAATAGTGATATAATAAACATTTTAATTTAATATACTCTTCATTGAATTCAATAATCTTTAACGTTCGTAGGAAATAACCTGATATAAAGGACAGAAGAAACAGAAAGAAAAAAAAGAAATAAATGAATACATAAAATGTGGGAGGAAAAAAAAGAGAGTGTTCAATGAGTATTATGAGCAGAGCAGAGCATAGAACAACTACGAGAAATGTTGTGTTCTTTATTCTCCAACCAATGATGAATGATTCAATACTATTCTTCGGTAGTAGTAGTTTTAAGATGATCGTCAAAGATATAGTGAGGAGGAAAAAGTGGTCGGGAGTACGAACGAAAGAGTAGGCAAACTATATATGAGAAAAAAAAGAAATAAGACTGTAAGAGAAGAATGACGTCAATAGAGAAGAAGTAGAGAATGAGAAAAAAGCTGATGTTAGCGCATGCATACACAAACATATGGTACACTCTGTTCTCTTAGTTTGGAATACAAATGGAAGGAATACTAACGGATGCTATATTTAGTATACATGAGGATAGTAGCATGAGAGATCTATTGACAACAATAGATTAACGAATGACAACTCATCTCTATTATTTAAGAGTAATCCTTTTAGATTTGATTAATATAAAAAGTAGAAAAAATCTCTTCATCATTCATTCTTGATTTTTCGGTTATTTTCTTTTCATTTCATACTTTACTTTCACCTCAATAACGAAAAAGTACATTAAAATGTTTTAGGTTTCAATAGGACATGAAATTATACGACTTGTATGCATTCCTCCGTTTACTTTTACTTATATTCGTTTCATTTATTTTTTTAATGTGTAACGACCGAAAGAAAATTAAGTAAAAGAAAAAAAAGTATATGTCGTTTATTGATCACGAACATATGATACTCAAAATAATCATATATATGTATCCTTGATTCGAAACATCATGTATCATCTCGTTGATAACTATATTTTTAGTCTGTCAACGTCTGCATAGATATATTATATATTCTAAAAATAAATACAGTTCTTATCATTCATATTTATACTATGAGAATAAAGATTTGCTTATTATAATTCTCCACTTTATCTAGTAACAACTGTGAATAAAAATAACACTCAACAATCTTCGACCTCGACTAAAGAAACGCCCCTCACTTCGTTTTGTATACTGTATTGAAATAAAAGAATTATTATACAACGTGTATGTTAAAATTATATTGTATATATTAACATTAATAATGGATAATTTGACCAGCAATTCTATAGGGATCTCATTCAAAACTATGACAAATCAAATGAATAAGTTACAAAAAAAAGCTATTGACAATCAAATACATATGAATCAATACTATTTGCTTACATTTCGATGAAAAATACATTTTGTTATAATAACTAGTGATATTTTCTCCATTCGATCTGAATATATTATATCAATGACAGATATTAATCATATCAATTTTCTATCGTCATCAATTTTTTTTTATGAAATATCTTCATCATTAAAAATCATGTATGATTAATTGAAAATTGATCGTTATCAAAAGTTAGATGATGTCTATTTCCTATAAGAAAAAATCAGCACATTCCTTCGATAAAAATCTTATTAAAAAAGAAAATACTAAATTGCATCAATATATATATATGAAAGATGCATTCATGCATGAAAGATTTAATAATATATGTTGATAACAATGAAATCCTATTGTTACATATTTATATTAAAATCTATAGAACAATCATAATTTGTTTTTTGTACTGTGCATTATTATTAAAGATGGGAAATTCCGATTCATTGAATATTGCATTTTTTAATCTATGTGTTATTTCGGTACGTGCAAATTGTTAGTATCGAAAATTGAATCTAATCCTATGTATCGAATGACAAAAGAAAATACTACAAGTATTTATTAAGCCTATCATTGTGTCATAGATTATCCGTTAAAACTTTGTTTATAATAAGACTGATTTTAAGATATTTACCAGACAAGATAACATGTTTTTGCCTTCGGCTTGTATATATTGATTTTATCTTAGAAGAAAAAAACAATATATCTTAACGCTATATACTATAAGGTCAAGGTGATAAAACTGATTAGTACCCATGAGGTTCATTCTACAAATTTGAATTTCTTCAGAGACGTACAAAAAATAATCAATCAAAAATACTTGTGTTCTATGCTTTAAATTTTCTTGTATTGTTCTTCTTTAACAAAAATAAAACAGGTTTGATACATATGATCATATTTCATTTTGATTTCTATTAAAATATAGTAGTATCTCATATCAACGAGTTCTTACGATCGAATAAATTGCTTTGCACTTGAGTTTTTTTTATAATGTGGCGGAAAGATATATTACAGTTTTATTTAAATAGATTGTATATTAGGCGTATCAATGTTTTTATATAACAAATCAGAATATATTGGCTATAAAAAAAGAAAATATCGTAATCAAGGATAGGAAATATGCTACTTCAGTTTTTCCTCACTTGTTTCGATCATATTTTTTATTAGAAATATATTTCATTCTTATTTAATAATTACGATAGATTTTTGAAAAATCATCATATGGAATTTATTTGTATAAAAAAATCTTTATAATAGAAATCAAACAATCAATTAAATCAGTGACTAGGAATAAAAATAAATAAATTATTGAATTGCTTTAAGTGGTTGATCAAGACAATCAACAGCTGTTTCACCACATAAAATACATTGTGAAGCAACAATATCATCAAGTTCTTGTTGTACACTATCCATATCACGTGATGGTGGTGCTATTCCACTTGCTATTATTGTTTGTAGACGATTAATAGTTTCAATACGTTTTGTTGAATTTTTATCAACTTTTTGTTCAGTATTTGCTACTTGTGAACGATTGGCTTCATTTACATTTTCTCCATCTTTACGGTTCATTAAACGTCGTACATATGTAAATAAACAATCACCATGAAAATAATGACCACAAGCAAATATATAAAATACTGGTTGTAACATTAAAACTTGTTCACATAATGAACATGTTTCATTTGAATCAATTGTTGCTATACATCGTGTACGATATTTAGCTAAATCAACACGTATATCATCAATTGATGTTGATGCTTCTTTCATTTCAGTTCGTAAATCAGTTAAACGAAGATTATAATGTTCTAATGATTCAATAATTGGCTTTTTAAATTGATCAATTGTTTCAAAATCAGGAAATAATGGAAGAACATCTTCGATTTTAAGTAAATCAGTATCACGACTTTTAACAATTTCCATTACTTCATTAAGGTCATGTCCTTGAGTTATGACAGAACTAGCTAAATAGAAATAATAATAAAAAACAATTTTCTTGTCAGATTCATCATTTTGTATTGATACAAAGGCAACAGACATTATAGATTTGAAATCTTTCGCGTCTTACTACTAATGTTTATAGAAATCAAAAATAAGATTCTATTATATATGATTTCTTACCAATTTTAAGCCATAATTTTTTCTTTCGTTCATCATTAATTGGTGCTGTTGATGCACAATCCTTTGCCAGTTTAATATTTACCTTAAAATTAATCATTTGTTTAATATGTACATATATATTTGAATTAGATTTACTTGTAAAGCTGTTTCAACAGCTTCTTCATACATGCCTAATAATTGATATAAAAACACACATTCTTCATTAAGATCATGATCAATACAAAGACGTAATGCATATCTTGGATCATAGGTTATTGACGAAAGATCCTAAATTTAGAATTCGATATGAAATTTTAATAGAATATAAATAAAGCTTACTTCTTTTTGATCGGATAAATATTTCATTATTTGATCAGGTTCGAATTTAATATATTCCGAAAGTAAATAATTATGAATTGATTTATCAATACATCCTCTTGCTAGACAAAACTTTAAAAAATCTAATACTGCTTTACCCTAAAATAAAAATCTATAGAAAATAAATAAAAATATTTGGTTTTACAATTGGAAATGCTCTTGAATATGCAATCATTGCGGGTAATAATTCTTTCGTATCAAAACCTTCTTTATATTTCTTTTTCCAAACATTTATAAGTTGTTCAGGTAATTTTTCGATCAAAGTTGGTGAATATTTATAAAAAAGATGATAATCATTCTAGAAAAAAATTCAAATAAATTAAAAGAAGAAGAAGAAAATAAATATTTACTAATGGTTCTAATGTTTTCAATGCTTTTTCATAATCTTCACGTTCAAGATAAAGTAAAATAACACGTTCATAATCTTGTACATGTTCAGCAAAAAAAATTAAATCATCAAGATCACCATGACTTGATAATAAATCATACATTGCTGACCGATGTTCTCTAAGACATGGTTGAATTTCTGTTTTACGTAAGAAATATTGAAATTTTCGACGTATATCATCAAATTTTTCTTTTCGATTTTGTTCATCGAAAGTTTCATCAGTTGATTGAAGTGCTGATTTTGTTTTTGTTGGTAGTCTCATTTGATTTATTGTTGTTGAAGAAACTGTTTCACGTAATTCATCAAGTTCATTTAAAAATAAATCTGTTAACCATAGAGTTAATATTGTTATTTGTGTACTATCCTATTTGAAAATAAGAAGAAAAGTAAGGATTTATCTAATTTTATATTTTACTGTTGATGGTTTTTGAAATTGTAAAACTGATTGAAGATATTCTCGAAGTGGTTCTTTATCTCTTAAAGCAAAGAATTTTAATGTAACATCTTCAAATGATGTATCTGATGTTGCATAAATGCTTGAGCTTAGTGAATATCTTTATAATTAAAAAGGAAAAAATGATATTTAGAAACAAAATAATTTTTTTACTTTTTTTCATTAAATAAATGATCAGCATGTCGAGAATTAATTGAACGTTGTCTTCGAGTTGTTTCAATTGGATCATCTGCCTAAATATATATTGTATTTAAAGAAAATACTTGAATTTTGAATAGTTCTTTTCTGATTATATCTACTATTATTACTCAGATATTTAATCAATGTTGAACTCTTCATTGCTGAAGTCTTCAAGTCCGCTGTTTCCCTCTACGATGATCGCAATCGAAAATATGGTAATAAAGAATTTATGAAGAATATGAAACTTCTCATGCAGATTATTTTTCAATATTTTTAAGCAAAACCCGATTTTCTTCAATAAGGATAAATAGTAACATTGAAGATATGAATCTAACATTATTAGTCCATGTTATTCCTATTCGATTAAAAGTAATCTAATACATACTATAACACAAGTTTCAAATGCTTTTTGAAAATCATTTTTATGCATAAATACACGCCAAACATCACGACGTTCATCTTTGATTGTATAACGAAGAACATGTGCATCAGTACAAGCCCATAATTGATCACGAATTTGATCGCGTGCATAACAAACTGGAGTACCACTCTATAAGAGCAAAAAATAGCTTTCAGATCTTAGAAGATATAGATTTATAGAATTCTAGCAAAAGTATATTTTTTATAATAATTCGTTATGGAAAAAAAGAAATAAAACTTACTGCCATCGAACCATCAATCATAACAATATTTTCATTAACAGTACATACAGCACGTATTTGATTTTCATTTGGAAACATCATAAGACAATGAAATTCAGTTAAAGCAACAGATTTTGGTGGTTTTTCTTCATCTCTTTGTTGTAGACTTTTATCAATATGATAATCAATAATACGACTACGTTCAAGAAAAGATTTTTGTACATTGATTGGATCAATTTCCGTATAAAAAAGTCCAGCACCAGTTATCCATGCAAATTGTCTATTTAATAATTGTGATTGAGGTGATTTTCGTTTAACAAATAATTGAATTTCACTTTGAGCATTTCCACTTGGAAATTCACGATATTTTAAATCAGGTAATGAAGCATCACGAAAAAAAGCAAAAAATGATGAAAAATAATCTGATTTACGTGATGGATCAATTTGATGTTCAAAATAATATAAAGCTCTAATAAAAAAACATAAAAAACATAATAAAACGTTTCTTTTTCCATTACTTTTGTGTTGTAATAACAACAAATACATTTGTATTATCTTCATAAGCAGATTTAACATCACAATAAATACCTGTTAAAGTATCTTGATTTCCTTCCATAATAGTTTTAAATACTGGATATACTTCAATGGAAAATATTACTTCACCATCGCGAATTGATAATTCATATATACTGCCATCTTGTCCAGCAAGAAGTGCAACAACATCATTTTGTGTTTGTAAAAATCGATTACACCATGAAACAGATGCAAGAACAAATGATGAAGAATTTCCTAATCGTATTGATTTTTTATTTAATTTTAATGTATATGCAGATGAAACAAGAATATATATATCACGTTTATCACGTGTTGATACAATAACTAAACGACCAGTTGGATCAAGAAATACTTTATTAATTGTATCTGGAATTTGAACATCTAGATTTATGAAAAATAATTAGCTTTAAAATCAAAAAATTTGAAGTTAAACCTTGAAATGACGAAGTAGGTTTTGTATCTTTTGGTATGTCATCAAGACATCGTCGTTGTAAAGTTTTGTCATTTAGATGTAATATAAAAACATTATTTGATACAACAAGATGATTAATTTTGGTATTTCTCTCAAATCTAAATAATTGGTTTTGTTTTTTTATTAGAAATAAAAATAAATATTTTACCTCCATGGAAGCTCACTTTTCAAAAAGATTGGCTCAAGATCTGTGACTGGATCCTAAAAAAGAAAATATAAAATATTCAAATTTTTGTTATTTAAAAAATAATACTCACAGATCCATCAGCTCTGAATGTTTGTTGTGCTTGAATATCCAATTGTTGATTGATGTCATCATCGGTAATCATGATTATTATTTGTCTATCAAAAAGAATATAGTTAATAGTATGGCTCACAACCACTAAACTTTTTTTTCTATTCTTTATTTATTACAAAATATCATCAATTTTAGTAACGCGGGGATAACATTCTTATCAAAAAAAAAAGTGACTGTTCTTCATGATGCTCTTCGATTAATCATCGTCGTTCTTCGAAACTTCGTTTCATTCGTCCATTAGCTGCAATTCGCTGTTGAGATCTAATTACAATAAATGATAAGATTAGTTATTTACTTTAATACATAATAACTCACATGTCTTTAAATAGAGACGAAACACGATGGGAAGCAAATATAAAAAAACCTAGAAAAGAGAAAAACATGTTATTTTCTGCATAATTAGTAATAATTAGAAAAAGAATATAATTTCCATAAAGTTTTTATTTAATCACTTATAAAATTAATTAATTATGTAAAACAAAAAATAAACCATGAATTAAATATTTAATGATGTGTGAAACTAATTGAACGGTCGATTTATGTGATAGAATTCATAGTTGACTCAATTAACTTTATATTTGTAATAGTTGTTTGTTATTGTATTTTCATTTATAATAGCACTAGATTCTGTATATAAAAAATCTTCTTCTGAGTTAGAATTACGTTATTTTTTTAGCAGTCATCCAGTATATTCTTTCAAATATTGGTCATATTTATAGTTTATTTGATATTTCTCCAAATCTCTTTAGATTTTGAATATAAACATTTAAACTGTTATGTTCATAATGACAGATATATTCCACAACAAGCGTTTGTGATACATTGTAAAATGTACGCATTCTATGACATCGTGATACTCTTAGTCGAGTACACTGATTGTCGGGTCTGTGTCTAGAATAGAATTTATCAAAGAGATCACTGGAGATGACAAGGATATATCTAGATGTACTTGATGAGATATTTGATTCTAGATGTAATTAATCTGTAAACGTCATTATCAAACTCATTTATTATTTGTAAACAACGAGAGAATAAAGAGAAATCTTCTTTTTATGACATTTTCTCTCTAGAAGAAATTCTGATGCAATACATAATAAACATATATAATCGATAACAATGTTTGTTTTTCTTATTATATAATCAGATATAAATTAAGCATATTTCAATATTATAAATTATGAGAAACAAAATAAATAGTATAGAAGAGATCTTTTTGACACAGATAATATCAAGATATATGTCAACCTTTTTCTTTATCCTTCCGATTATTGAAAGTTGAATTTTTTATTCACCAGCACAACTATTATTAATGAAATAGCCTACAGTTCAAGTGTTATTATATGAAGTTACAATCAAATGAGATCATTTAACTTATTAACTGTATGCTAAAGAAATCAATAGTTAACAAAATATATTCTTGATCACAATTATTGTTTTTCCTCGAATAATAAATGCGATAAATATTCATACCTAATCCAAAAAGAGCACAAGTAAAACGATGTGTTGATGTTTGTGCTTTCTTTGCTTGATAGAACATATAAGCACCTAGTGCCGATGAGGATGATATTCCAATCGCATGACAAGAAAAACAAGCAGATGGTTGCTGAATTTCTGATGAAGACCTATCAACAATCATCTATTTGATACACAATAATAAAAAAAACAAGTATGATATTTATTATCTGAAATAAATTTCATGATATACAACTTAATCTTTATATGAAAATATTCAATCAGAGCGAATAGCAAAAAAGAAAAAATTTTTTCCCTCGAATCTCTTATAATCTTTCGTGCTTATAATAACAAAAGAAAAATTATTCTTATTTTATACATACAGATATAATGAAAAAAAGAAGAAGAAGAAGAAGAAGAAGAAGAAGAAGAGAAGCTCTCACAGAGAGTAAGAAGAAAAAATGGAATTGTGTTCATCGTAAATTCGGTGGTCGATATAAATGAAAATTATGTATATTATCAAGATCTCTTGGCCATCGTTGTATTGTTATACAAAATGGTTCAATTGGATGCCATAGTGTAGCTAATGTTGTACGACGATTAGGTGTTAATGTATTTGGAATAAGTAAAGCATTTGCTGTTGTTGTTGTATTATTATTTGTTATAGTTGGTGTAACAATTGTCGTCGTTGCTGTTGCTGTCGCCGTTGTTGTTGTTGTTGCTGCTGCTGTTGAATTGTCTGTTGTTGTTGTAGTTGTAAATTGTGGTAAAATAATTGAACGATTTGTTAATGTTAATTGAAATTTCATTCTTTGACAATCACGTGAAAAAAATCTTACAGGATTATTTGGACATGTTTTTGTCATATCATCAATATGAACAATTTTATCATCATAAGAATATAAATTTAAATCAAGATATGGAGATATTGTATGTGTTATTGTACGTAATGGTAATTGCATAAGTAAACGTTTTATTGAATCATAATCACCGGTTGATGTTGAATGATAATACATATGTTCAAATTGTCGACGACCAGCATATGTTGATAATGGAAAAAATTCTAAATTTTTATAATTAATTAAACCATAGGATGATGAATAACGAAAATCATCATTATATTTTTCAAATATCGTCGCTAATTCAGTTGATGAATCATCATAAATATTTAAAATTGTTGATGTTTGAATATTATAAACAACAAATAATGCATAATGCATTTGTTGTTCTTGTTGACGTTTATTAACAATTGTTTCATGAGCAAATTTAAGTAAGATTATATTATTTGTTAAAAATTGTACTTTATAAAATTTACTAGCTAGATAATCATTGAATGAATGAATAAAACGTAATTGTTTATTACTCTGTTTAGCACGTTTATATAAATATGTTAATAAACGTTGTTTTAATGTACACAATTGTTTATCATTCATTGGTAATAAGATTTGATTTTGTATTAATGACCAATAATCATTATTGGAATCATTTATTATACGATCTGTACCAGTTTCTATTCG